CGTAGTGAAGGAACCTATTTGTAAGCTACAAAATTTTCAATGATTCACGTGGTGAAGGAACCTATTTGTAAGCTACAAACTTTTCAATAATTCACGTGGTGAAGGAATCTATTTGTAAGCTACAAAATTTTAATTGACTCATGTAATGAAAGAACCTATTTCTAAGATGCAAAATTATCAATGATTCGCGTAGTGAAGTAATCTACTTGTAAGCTACAAAATGTTCAATGATTCACATAGTGAAGTAACTTATTTCTAAGTTACAAGATTTTTAATGATCCATGTAAACTTGACAAACAAATATGCAATACCAAGTTGTAATATCAGAAATATTTTTGAGCTACGATGCAAATGTCACTATTATTTCTAGAGCTAGAGCCTAATCTGTTTTTAAAATATGTAAACCTTCTTTTTTGGTTTCAAGTATCATTGTGAATGAAAACTGAGAACAAAGTTTTATCGTTCAGTGGGTACCTTAACATTAGATCATTGACTCAAACAAACATTTTTAGGCAATATGACGATTCTAGGATGAAATTTAAGGATAATAAACATAAACTCTTTCAAGTTATTTTTGATTTACTGTTCCTGGTTACAGCAATTCGCCTGATATGCATTCGTAATCACTGTTGCTGTTATTTAGTTTCTGTATTATGACGTTAAATTTGATCCCTTTTTTATTGAAAACTACAATCATACAAAACAGTTTTGACGTCATAGACTAATGCAAGCTTGCAGCCTTTGGGCAAGCTATCATCTTCTTAAACTTTGTTGTAGCGGCTGTAATTTACAAGTTGGTAATGTATTTTTGGTTAAAATAAGGTTATTCCTTTCTTGACTTCATTTGTTTTACTATAAATGTAACACGCCAGCCTTATTAATTGAATAAAAAACCCTGATAAAACCTAAATGAAATACGATCTACCTTTCTGAAAAACTAAAACTGGGTAAAGAGTGGATTATTGTTGTTATCTTATTACAAACTACAGAAACATGAGGACCTTATCATCCGTTTTGTTGTTCTGATATTTATATATGTGTACTGATGCAACTGCAGGTTTTGAGGTTTGAAGTTCACAAGCTACAATTTTGGATTTGTTTCATTCTTATCTAACCTGAAAAAAAAAAACACTTATGGAAACGTTTATTAATACCACGTTACTTGAAATGTTAACCATACGAAGAAGTCTTATTAATACTTTACGACTAGCTATAATTATACATAATAAGTCTAATAATGATCGGGTCCAGGTACTTGAATACCGTATTCAGAAAACGATAAAAATAAACATATGGTAAAATATATGTTTTCCATTGTTATTTCACCAATGTCAAATTGTCGTCAGAAATTGCTTGATTTTGCTTTACTAACTCAGAGAATGTAAAATCGTTGGTGTTTTTGATTATTACTTTTTCTCTATGATTCTGGTGTTATGTTAGTCTTGTAAAAGTTATTAAAAAGACATTAAGTTATTATTATAAACATAGCTAAGACAAAGATTAATGACGAATATGGGAGAAATGAGGTAAGAAGGTCCCCTCCATTAAAAAGGTTAATCCTGTATATCATCATTTATGACGTGCTGCCATCTAGAGTGAATTATGTGTAACCATTAATCACGTGACCCCGTGCATAAACACACTGGCAGATTTGTTTGTTTGTTTTGTTAAATTTTGCGCAGAGCTACTCAGGGCTATCTGTGCTATCCGTCCTTGATTTTGAATTTATAGACTAGAGGAAAGGTAATTAGTCAGCACGCCTACCAATGTTCGGTAACAGAGTTCGATCCCGTCATCCCGCAGAATATCAGTCGAGAGACCTATCCACCAGGCCCACTCTGATGGAGTGGTACAAATGTGAATGATCAAATCACGACTTCATTCTTTATGAACACCTTTTATGAATGCAAAGTATATACTGCAGGGATTTTCACTTTGTTGGTTTCAAATAATGAGGAAATGTAGACACACGAATATGCCGTTTACTGATTTTTTATAACATGCGATTCTTTTACGAAGAGTGGTTGAAGGTAAGACAGTCCACAGCTGGTGATGCTTTTCCCTGTTCTATTGCCTACTTTATTTTGTGCCATTGTTCTAGATAATGTGCAACTTGCGCATGTCACACAACCTTCCTGATTCCTGCTGTGAGAATTTAAATGATGATTTAAGTGATTTAAACGCAGTTTTAAATGCAGCATTTATTTTAAATTGCAATTCTCATGAGCTACATGGGGACCATTTTACTCCATCTTGAAGGGTCCTTTTTGTCCGAGCTTATCGTTAAAACGGCCCCCAACCACAAAAAGTGTATTTTCTCAATATCTTAAAAGGCCTGTGTCCAATTTTTTGTTTTAAACTTTGTTCATTTCAAAGCCTTTTGAGTTCCCATAAACATTCATCTTAGTTGTTAAAAACAGCATTGAGAGTTATGGTGACCGTCTTACCCCACCTTCTCCTAATTTTGAAAATACAGTTCTTTGAAGAAGTCCTCTAATACATGTATGATTCATAACTTCAACTTACTTATTTTTCTATCATGAGACACTTTCTTAGACCTGTGAGTTTCTAGGATATTTGGTATTTTAAACCTCAAAGACACTTTATGTGATGCATGGGCTTTATTAGTTTAATGTTTCAACCAATCATAGAGCACATAAATTAATAAAAAAATGAATATATACATATATGGTGTTTGTGAGTGTATGTGTATGCTAAGAGCATAATTATTTCGAAAATACTTTGAGTAACGTAGGAAATTCTTGCAGTTACTTAAGTTTCGGTTGATCAAGGGGGAACTTCTTTTTTGATTACTTTACACAATTCCATTTGACTTTTTTTTCAATAGCGTAACGCTCTTTAAATGCTCAGTTATAATTTCACGAAAAGTTTCATAACCTTACTCTTGTATCCACGTTACGATTCCGTTTAATTTAACTTTTATTGGTCTTCACTGTATTTTCAAGTGCCCAACCCCGGTGGCACAGCGGTATGTTTGCAGATTTACAACGCTAGAAACCGGGTTTAGATACCCGTGATGGGCAGAACACAGATATCCCATCCTGTAGCTTTGTGCTTAACTTCAAACAAACAATATTTTCAAGTTTTGGTGCTTACACTATTGTGAAACAGTTGGAGGTGACAAAAGAATTACTGACATTAATTTAAGGGTAATTGTATGCGTCTAAGTGTGACTGTTACTATGAATATATACTAATAATAATTTTACAGTTTTAACAATTTTTAAAGATCTTGCAACATTTCGGTTGTATGTATATACATATATAGGTTTGTTTCAGGAACACTCTGGGCCTGAAGTTAGCTTATAGCCGAAACGATACATAATATAAGTATATATGATAAGAGTGGTGTAAACAGTATAACACATAGGGTTTAGCAATCCTCATGGGTATAATGGATGCCGCAGTGAAACTTCGGATTGAGTTTTATACACCATATGATGGTTTTAAGGTAGCAAACTATATGAATTTTTCCACATTACACTTGATTTGTTTACCTTTTCGTTTATAAATAAATTATGCAAATACAGTGAAATGCACCCACCGTTTTTATTCACTGTTTGCTCCTTTGATCACGAAAAAAGCTTTAAATGCTAAAGTACTATATATTTTAAATTAGTTAAAGTAACACATGATATAACTTAGCACTTTCTAAACAATGGAAAAACGTTTTGAGATCAGAATTTGTTTAGAAAATTCGATCAGAAAATAAAGGAAAAAAGTTTAAATGCATCATTTTAATATACAATTTAAGCGTCGGTTTGTTTGTAATTAAGCATAAAGCTACACAATGGGCTATCTGTGCTCTGCCCACCATGGGTATCGAAACCCGGATTCTAGCGTTGTAAGTCCGCAGACATACCGCTGTGCCACTGGGGGGCTTAAGCGTCGGAAATAGATGTAAATGAAAGTCGTTAATAACCTTCAGAACAGACAAGGAAGTTTATAACACCCAATACTTAACCTTCAGAGTAAACTAAGGAGTGCCTCCCAATGTCTCCGCGTAAGTCTGAAAGCATATAATGCTAAAAGCCGGGTTTCGATACCTGTGCTATGCCCACCACAGGTACCTCATCGTGTAGCTTTGTGGTTAACAACAAACAAACAACAACAAAAAGACTAGGATATCTGTAATACACAATATGTAACCCTCAGAATAGATCATGGAGTCTTTTACACATAATATGTAATTCTTTGAACAGACCACGGAGTCTATAACACAAGATATACATATTTTGAGATTATATATTAGTGAACGTATTTTAATTCCAACCTTGTTTATTCTAATCATAAATTGAACTTACTGATTTTGATAACATAACAACAAGTGTTCATTCATAAATAAAGACAGAGAGTTAATGATGAAACACACATTTTCTACAAGACAAAAGCTAAAAGAAACAAAATACATAGAAATGTTTTTAAGTTTGACGGTATATTAATTGTCTTTGGTACCAACATTCAGTATCTATTGAGAAAATACCATGTGGTAGGAAGCGTCTACCGATCAAAAATTGGTGCAAAATACCTTCTTTTTTTTTTAAAGAAATGCCGGAAGATTTCGTGGTTAATAACCATATGATACTAAAGATTTACAATCGATTTTGTGGTTATTAACAATATGGTAGTAAAGATAACAATGTGGTATTAAATTATACTTCAATGAAGAAAAACGATCTATTTGCAAATGTACTTGTTAACTTTCTTGGTAAATAAAGGGTATTTCTTATTGACTAAAATATAATTTGATTTTATATTGTTGGTAAGTCTAGTACAAAATGCCTTACCAAAACATCGACTTTTTTTTTTATCTCGCATGTTGTCTTCAAGAAGACAAGTTTCTCGATAAGAACAAATATATCTAAGTAAGATAAAAGAAAGGTTTATCACGCGAAAGAGCTGGGATTATCCTGCTTTTTTAATTGTGATTTATCAACTTTTTTTTAACCTAAGTGTTTTCCAAGTACCATGAAAACATACCTGTGTTTCAGATAAACTGAGGGCCGTCGCGAGTTCCAACCGTTCCGGAGTTGACAAGTACCGCTGAGCCTCGAAACGCTTCTCCAGCCCGTGAAGTTGTTGGTCGCTGAAAACGGTGCGGGCCTTACGGCGTCGACAAGCCTTGGAAGAGGGTTCCGTAGTCAACAGAGCATGGAACGGCAAGCCTTGATATTTGGAGGAAAAGAAGAGATTCACTGTCGTGCATAATAATAACGAGGAGAAAGCTACATTTTCAATTTCGTACCGTCTGAATCAATTTCACATATCATAAAAAATCTGGGTTTCTCTCCGTTAATTTACGGATGACTCATAAGCTGAGGCTTCAGTGTTAATTTACTACTCATTATTCGCGTGCAGTTGGAGAGCATAGCGTTTCATCATATAAAACCACTGTAGTTTTCCTGCTTCTTATGGTGTCATTGAAGATGTTCTTACTGGTGACAATGAATCTATTTACCCACTGTATTACCAAAATATATTGTTGTTCTTACTGGTGACAATGGATCTATTTACACACTATATTACCAAAATATATTGTTGTTCTTACTGGTGACAATGGATCTATTTACACACTAAATTACCAAATATATTGTTGTTCTTACTGGTGACAATGGATCTATTTACACACGATATTACCAAAATATATTGTTGTTCCTACTGGTGACAACGGATCTATTTACACACTATATTACCGAAATATATTGTTGCTTGGAAGATGGACAGTGAGAATAGAAAAAAAGAAATAATAATGCCATCATAGTAGAGGAAGTGAAACAAAACCATACGTCGAAAAGTAAAGAAACACTTCAGAAAATATTTTCACACATGCGTCGAAATGGAAATATTTTCACACAGATATTACATAAGGAACGTCGGTAGACATTATTTACGGAATAATAGTTTGTGGACTAAGTAGAAAACAACAACAACATGTAATATGATTAAGACCTCGTTAAATACAAGGCTATACTTCTCATTTATTTTTTATAGTCTTAATGACTTACTGTGTGGTAACATGACAGGAATCTTAGGCTTTAAGAGAAAACCGTTCATTTAATACTATAAAGAATGAAAAATAAAATAAACCAGTTTATAATTTCCTGTAAAAAGCTTAAATTCTGTTTGCATATTTAGTGCCTTAGACGTACCTCAAGCCATACAGAAAAAATGTATCATGATTTTTCACTGAAGATAGAAATGTTATAAAGTTGCAGATACAGTCTTTTTGTCTATCATCTGTTTATTTTGGAACCTATACCAAAGAAACAGCACCTGTCAAGAAGGTTCGGGACTGATATCGTAATTTTCAAGTGCACAATGAAGGTAGGTAATGCCCGTAAACAATATGTGTGTAGATTACGCGATGGTGTTAGAAGTAACACCTGTAAACAAAAATGCCTTTAGATTACACGGTGAAGACAGGTAATACCTATTAGAAATGTGACTTGGTAACACAGCGAAGATAAGCAATACCCGAAAACAATGTATGTTTTGGTAACATATTGTAAGCAATGTGTGTTTAGGTAAAATGTTAACTAATAATAAGACCCGTAAACAATATAAAGGGCATACTAGACGTAATCGTAATCAATATTTCAGTGTTACGTTGTTAAACGCCGAAAGATGGCGAAGTGATGAAAGCAATAGGCCTGATATTCGTGATAAATAACGCACTAGACTGCAGATAACTGTTAAGGATTCTTCGTAATTAATCCATTATGAATTTCAATATCAGAAACGTAACAGTCGCATTTTAGATGTACTTTTTGTCTGCTACATATCGCCGCCCAAGAGGTCTTTCGTTCTATACCAGAAGTAGTCAGCTGGGCTGTACATGATTATAGCAAAAGTTTATCCAAAATTATATGATATTTGCTTTAGAAAACTTTCAAAATGTTAATCACCTCAAATTGACAAAGCGATGAAATCAACAGGCCTAATAATACGCGCCTTTTGATTTCAAGTCCATGATTACTCATTTAAAGGAATGTGGGGAAATATCTGTAATCTATCATGACTAATATCTGTTTATAATAACCACGCCAAGATCAAGTTAAATCCATAAATAATGCGTATTTAGAATACGCGCCAATTACAGGTGAACATCTATAAACAATATGTATCGAGTATTCTTTGATAGGTTGTAATTAGGCTGAATATTCATGATGAGTATACTGGAATGAACGGTAACTGCCTGTTGTAATAAAACATAAATATAGAGGACGACGTTTGTGATTTTTTTACAACAGGCAGTTACCCATCCATTCCAGTAAACTCAATGTAATCGAGTTTTGAAATGCTTTTTAATTGGACAGAAAAGCTATTTAAAATGCTAAAACAGTTAATGTAAAGCGTAATCTATCATTCTATTTAACACTTGTCACTGGATTATATCTGTTTCGGGGGGGGGGGGCGTTCCATACCTCGTCAGTTACATTGAATAATTCACAAGAATATATTAATAGCATCATTGTTGTATATTCTTGAAATTTATATTTGGATATAGGATCGTTGTGTGAACAAAAGGCATTTCAATACACCATAAGTATAATATACACTTCACCACTATATGAAACCTAGTCTTATTCTTTCGACTTCCCCTTATCCATTGTGACAGAATTCCCCGAAACCGGTATAACTCAACGACAAGTAATAAATCGCATGAGAGTTTCGGCTTCACAATTTTTTTTTTTTTTTTTTTTAGTGTCTGTAAACATTGTTTTTGGAATATAAGCCGAGTATATACAGATAACATTTATAAACAATATGTATTACGATACACGCCCAGTACACAAAAGTAGCATCTGTAAACAATATGTTTAGAACACGTGCCGAAAACAGATAGCATTCGTAAATAATGCATATTTTAGAATACGCAAAGTACTAGTAATATCCGTGAATAATATATGTTACAATATATACATGCTGAAAACAGGTAACTTAGTTAATTTTAAACTGCGGTTTAATCTTCAGTTGGTATGCTTTTCAACATAAATGTTAAATACCATTCATACTTTAAAGTATTTGTAGTTCAGCTAATTAAAATAAGCATAATACCACATAAGTCCATGGTAACTTTAAAGTGTGCAGAAAACAAAATAGTAATCTCAATTTTATGTGTGTGTTGAATATAACTCGCGGAGACAAACAAGTATTTTGGTGGCTGCATTGTGTTATGGTGTTTAGTTTCAAACCACAAGTGAAACACATAAGCAAATCTATAAGATAAATGATATTCGCCAGATGTGGGGACTCGTAGGGTACCGTTACAGGACTGAGAAAGGAATTAAGTAACAGGAAGCTTTATCATTGATTAAATTAAGAAACAAAACTTGCGATTGAAACAGATATATTTCTGCAAATTAAATAGCCGTTTAATGAAGTCCCTTACTCTGCTTACTTGTTCATCACTACACAATATGCGCAGACTATAATGGCTCAGGCATGTAGTGTCGTGAAATTGAAGAAAACATTGAATTTTTAAAGATGCTTGTATTAGCCAATTGTTGTTTAATTAATGATCAAGATATGAATTAATACTTGAGGTTTCTTCAATTATTTTGAAAACAAAACGTAAGTGCTGTCCGAAAAATGTTTAGAAATGGCATTACTTGAGCTTGAATACTATTACTAAACTTTCACATCAATTTGGTGTACCTAACATGCATGGCAACGTGAACGTGCTTGAATATGACAGAGCGCATTTCTTCTACAACATTAGATTATCCCGTGTGATCTGAATCTGACAGAGCGTATTTATTCTTCAGTACTGCATGTTACATATGTACAAGCGATATAATGTTGTTTAAAATTTCATTTGAAGCTTTGTACTGTCAGTTTTGGTTTGTGTTTTAGTGAACGCTCCTGAAGAAGCTGTAAAGCCAAACGTTGAGTGTCTAATTAAATAAAAACAACGTTTAGGTATTATAAGGTCGTTTATTTCTAGTATTAAGTGTAAACTGTAAACACTTGTAAAAACTAGACTAAATGCTCTTTAAAATCTTTTTTCAAGTCGGTCCCTTTCAGCTACGATCATAGGTAGAAACTTTAAAATTTCAGGACATCTTTAAATCTGTTAAGAAAAAAGTGTCAACTATCGAAAAT